CCAGCCTGTGTGGGGACAGGGAGCGCAGCGCCCCGCTGCCCAGCAGTCCAGGGTGACGAGGCTGCTCCCTCTCCTCCCCCGTGCAGTTAAGCCAGACCCTCCAGAGGGCTTGGTGGTGGAGCCCATCCCCCTGGCCCCACGGCGGCTCCATGTGAGCGGGAAGTACCCCTCCTCCTGGCCCAAGGAACCCCACTTCCAGCTTAGGTTTCGGCTCCAGTACCGGCCCATCATCCACCGCTCCTGGTCCATGGTAAGCAGTGGGTGAGGGAAGGCAAAGCCGGTGTGGGAACAGGGTGGGCGTGGGGCCAGGGGGGCAGGGAGGGGGGCCCCCTGCCGCCCCTCTGCTCCCCTATGCCCACTGCAGGTGGAGACGGTGAACCTCTCTGAGGTGATCACGGATGCCTTCGCTGGGCTGGAGCACGTGGTCCAAGTCAGTGCCAAGGATTTCCTGGATGCAGGGAACTGGAGCGAGTGGAGCGCCGAGGCCCGGGCAACACCGGTCAGAGGTACGAGGGGGATAGGCTAAAGCCCACGGTATCCTACCAGGTTGTGCCATTCCTCCCCAAAGCCCCTCCAGCACCCTGATCTGCCCCTCTCCAACCCCTTCCCCATGGCACCCATTCCCCCAAATATCACCCAGAGCAAGCCTCAGTTCCTGGGGTCCCTTAAAGTTGACCAAAAAAGCTGGTCCTGTGCACCACACAAAAATTGGTTCCGCAGTGGGAGGCAGAGCTGCAAGGGGGCAAAGCATCTCCCAGCCCCACAGCAGGCTGCATCCATGCTGCTGCCATTTGGGGATTGCCTCCCACAGGGCTGGGACAGAGCGGGGTTCCCAAAGCACCGGTAACACCCTGGGAGCACCTTTGGGCTGATGGGACCCCTGGGGCGTAAGGACACCCTTTTTTGCTCCCCTCTGTGGGTCTCTGGGCTGCTGCCCATGATTTTGGGTGGGTGATTCCCACACCCTCTGTCCTTCCAGACCTGGCTACCGCGGCAAGTGAAGAAACCACTACGGATGCCAGCCTGGAGACCCTGGTCGAGGAGCCCTCCCAGGCGCCCAACCCTGAGCCCATCAGTGAGTAGGGCAGGGCATGGGGGCAGGCGTGGGGACAGCCCGCAGGCAGCTGCCTGCCTGGGCACACGTGGCTGAGAGCGATGGGAAGGGTCTGTTGCCCCATGCCCCTGTGTGACTGGGGTGCTGCGCTGTCCACGAGCTGGCAGTAGTGTCCTCCAGGCCTGGGGACGCTGTGGCATCCCTCAGCCGTGACAGTCCCTCTGTCCCAGACCACAGTGACCCCCTGGAGAAGACAGCCGTCCTGGTGTCCCTTGGGATCTTCTCCTTCTTCGTCCTGGCTGCTGTTCTTGTCGTCACCATCCTCATCTGGTAGGTTGGTCTTTGAAAGGGAGAGGTCTGTGTGATTGCTGTCCCCACCCCAGTCTGGCCTTGAAACCTTCAGCGTGGGGTGCCCCAGTCCCCCCAGCCCTGATCTGGGGTCCCTGCCCAAAAAGACTTGATGCCAGCCCCATAAGGTGGTTTATGCTCCCCTTGC